ATGTGGTGATGGTGATGGTGATGGTGATGGTGATGATGATGATGATGAGAAGGAAGAGGAGAAGGAGAAGGGGGGGAGCAGGAGGAGGAGGAGCAGGTGTACCGAAGGGTCATGCCAAGGGTACCGAACATACTGTTCCGTAGGGAACGCTACGCCTAACAGACTATGTACAGTACCGATGGGGGACCAGTCTCAGCTTCTAAACCAGATCCGGCAACTCTTCGATGAAAAGGTGAACCCCATTATCGAGAAAGTCACCGCGAGGGTCGAGAACAATGAAAAGAAGACTGAAGAAGATCATACACGTCTCGACGACCGCGATGCTCGCCTTCGACGTTTGGAATCCTCGCAGCCTTCCTCCGACATCGTCCCCAAATCGATCGAGTTTAAAGGTTTTTGTGAATGGAAGGTCCGTAGGACAGAGGGGGTTTCCAGGAACGAGGCGGAGGCCATGATCACGAAGCTGATGGAAAACTTGCCCGAGTCCTTGAAAGCAAACGTGGGCCCTATTCACCTCAGGGGGAATCGGTGGCACAAGTTCCAGCTCGACGTGACCCCAGGATTCGCCAGCGAGATTTCGGACATCTTCAAGGATACCCTCAAGGACCCCAGCTTCGCCCGCAATGGGAAAATCCTCTACACCACCGTGGAGCGTAAGCCTGAGGTGTAAAAGCTTTACGCAGCTGGGTGGAGGGCAGGGGCGTTCTTACGTAGCAAGTTGGCGTCGGCAGGGGGGGGGGCGGAGTGCTCTTGGAAACCGGAGTGGCGATTTATTGTCAGTAATGGCAGGCGGAGGCTGTCATCGGGGTCGTGAGCTCAGACGGCACTATCGCATTGGACGACGCCGCATGCCAGCAGCATCTCCAGTTGCAGGCGGCCCAGATGCAGCAGGGTTTCGCCAACTTCAAAGATTGAAGCGGTGTGGGGGAGCACCTAGACCTTAATTCAATGCGTACGGTTAGTTGGAACACTTGTCAGAAATGCCGGTCGACTATTTCAAAGATTTTTAAGGGTATCCGAGCGCTGTACGGGGACACCGCAGCTCGTCTACACGAGGTTCCTGCTTTGGGTGCTAATGCAGGTTCTGCGGCTTCTTGATCACTGGACGTTGGGTTCCGGCCGCGAGAGCTGAAACATGCCGTTCATACTGGGCAGCGTGCGTGGTGGGCAAAGCAATTATGTTTACAGGACACGCTTTAGACCATCTAGTTGAAGAGGGGAGGGGAGAGCAAATAATTCATGAGTCCCTGGAGTACGTGCGTTTCGTCAAGAGCACTCTTCCGGTAGGTCATTTTGATATTATTTTGGACTTTGATGCAAATGTTTGTCTACCCGCAGGATATGGAGCTATCATTGGGCGCCATGTTATCCAGCCTGCCCAGTCTCACACTCCATCTATGATCTAGGTCATGTTGGGGTGGTTTGAGGCGTTAGGAGTGCGAGCTTTGAATACGTTCTGGCAGCCAGGGGAAGCTGAAGGCTGTGGGGAACCAACCTGCCTGCGGACGTGCGGCCGTCGCTGGGCCATGTCCAGACGCAACCAAATTGATGTTGCTGCTGTTTCCGATCGTGTTCACGGACCGGACGCGTCTCTTCTAGGAGTTTGGAGAGTCGACAGTTTACCCGGTCCGAGCATCGACCTCTTCTGGATTATGTGGATATTCTTGCATCGCGGGACATTGTTCGCAAAGAGATTCCCGAAGCAAGAGATTTGACAGGATGGAGGCCAACTGATTCGTCTAGCCTGGACTTGTTCCACCAACGTTGCGCCCAGAGCAGTTCCGCTTCCATAGGAAATCTCCAAAAGCATATTTTGACAGTGGCCGAGGCTGTCCCTCATACTGCCTGGAGGCGATGGCGGAGAGTAGGGACCACGGTAATCAACCAGCCAGCGATCGCATCCAACATTCTTGGGGCATCTACGGCAGGAGCGGTTCGGAAATACGTTATCTCCGATGTTCGTCGTGCCAAACGGGCTGCACGGCGGAGTCGAAACGGTAGTAATTTAGCATCAGTCCGCACAACGTCCAGTTACCCGAACTCCTGTGGTTCTCCAGGTTCATGTGGAATTATGTCACGACCGTCAGGCTTGGTTGGGGGTGGCTTTCAGATTTGGTATATCAAGGTTTTTGTGACGAATCCAACGCCCATCATGTTCAACTCCTTCGATTGGCCAGTTTATGAAGTGCCGCAGCTTGTGAAAACTCGACAGGCGCCGACCCCAGACATTGTTTCTACTTGACGTTGTTGTTGGCCGTTCTCAGAGAAAATTGCATTCGCAGGCTGGCGCCGACGGGTGTCCACCAGAGGTGTATGAGGCTCTGCAATACAAAGTTGCTGTCAAAATCTGGAAGCACTCCGCTAGAAGACTGGAGGACCCAGATCCCGAGTACTTTTTGGAGTGGAAGCTGACAGATTTCACAGGACTGCTGAAAAAAACAACGTACATCGTTTTCATTTGAAGACTGTCGATAGATTGCCAGATTGGATTGCGTGCAAAACTGGTTTGCTAGAAGCATAGTGCGCTTAGTGCGAGCTGAGCTGAAGAGCTAATCACAGTCTCGGTTTCAAGCCAGGGTTTTGCTGCGATGACCTCGTGGCAGTTATCAGGCAGGGTTTGAGTTAGCCCATCGGTTGGGGCTGCCATTTGCTTGGTGGGCGCTGGACGTCGCTGTTGCTTTCGACTCCATAGACCACGCCTTGCTTCCCGAAGCGATGTTCAAACGCGGGCTACACCCTCAGCTCGTTTGTTGCCTTCTCCGCAAATTGAATGGATTTCAAGCCTCTTCTCTGTGCGCGGAGCTGGGGCCACCGAGAGGTTTCCCTTCGAGCGTATAGGTAAACAAAGTGGAGCCGAAACACCTGGCGAGTTTAACATTTTCTTGGAGGATCTCCTAGAATCGCTCGTTTCAGAATGGGCCAGGCGGGGCTTCGGCTTTTCTCCAGGTGAAGGGGTTCCGAAGCTAAGGCGCCTTACTTGGGCCGATAACATCTTCTTGCTCGCTTTTGGGATCGACGAGTTACGCACCATGGTGGCCGAGCTCACGATTCAAGTCTACCGGCACAAACTCAGATGGAAACGGTCGTCCTTGCAATATTTGTGCGCCAGTGGAGTCGCCCACTTCGGAGGAACGTCTATGGAGGTGAACGCTTTGAGCCAGGATATCGAGCCAGTCGCGTTGCGCATGGTCACCGAGATGGAAGCGTGGGGGGATTTACTGGATATCGCGGGCTTCACACGACGGAGCTTGGACCACATTTTATTCAAGGCCGAAGCATGTTACATATCACATCCCCGTACTTTCCATGGAGCTGGGGACGTCCCGTCCCGAATTCATTCGCGGCAATAAGGTCCAGCTCTTTTGGGAGCTGGCACGTGGCATTTTTGCCAGCATACCCTGACGGACGTCAAGAGATGGGAGTTTCAAAGGCTACGGAAAGTGTTGGAATTACGTCGTCGCCCTGACGCAGTGCCGATGGAGTACAATCAACGCACTGCCCTGCTTATTTGCTCATGGTGCGTGAAATCCGGCGCGCAGCTACTGCATCTCCGGGTGCTCCGCGAATTATTTGTGCAAGCGTGGCGTGGGAACCATTTACCAAACCAATTGGTGGAACGGAGCGCGGCAGGTATAGACGAGTATTCAGTGCCACTCAGAGGACAACCGGGCATCGAACTGGTTGGGAAGATATGTATTGTTCCATATCTGGTGCCCAGCGGCGCCAATTCCGTAGCCAATTCTCCACCGCCGCGGCTTGGAAAGCGCAGCTCGCCCCTTTCACAAGCAAAGTCTGCAGCTTGTGTGGCCCCCCTGGGCTGGGGAACAAGGCGTCCGACGTTGAGCCGAATAGCCCGGCAAGGTCGCCGCCTGCGAAGAGGCCACGCCCGCCAGACCTCATGAATTACCCCAACCACGCAACGCAGGGCGATGATATGACGGTGGATTGGGAAGGATGTAGGGAACTTGTTGTCGTCGATTGCCAGCCAATGCAGCGCATCGCCATGGACAGGCTCCTCTGAAGGACGGCGACGCAACTGCTATATTCAGTAGCATGTGCACAGCCTTGTTATCGATGCTCGATCTGGGATGGATGCCTCTTCAAGTTCACCACGACCCCGTCGTGTGGCGGAAGCGGGAATACAATGTCCCAGCTGATTCTCTCGTAAACTAACAATGGGCTCCAGGACGTCATGGTCCAAGAGCTTCGAATCCGCCTTCCCTGGCGAGCGCATTTCTGATTGTAACCTTGTTGCGCGTTCAGATGGAGAACTCGTGCGGGATCGTGCTCAGCTACCAGATGGGTGGTGGAGGCTGGGCGCTGGAACGATGTGTCTTGGGAATTGCGCCCCATTGCTACGGCAGGCAGTTTTATTCCGACACCGATTTCTTCATTCTGTGCTGAAGCCCCGGCATTAGAAAAGTGCGCATTGTTTGTCTCACGATTGTGTCCCTCGCTGTCAGGGTAAACTTGCGGTTTTCACTATTGCACTGTGTCTGTAGTTGGCCGACACATGTGTGTGTCCTAGGCTTGGGGGAAAAAAAAGGAGGAGGAGGAGGAGGACGACGACCACGAGGAGGAGGACGAGGAGGGGGAGGGGGACGAAGAGGAGGAGGAGGAGACGGAGGAGGAGGATGAGGAGGAGAAGAGGAGGAGAAGAGGAGGAGAAGAGGAGGTGGAGGAGAAAGAGGTGGAGGAGGAGGTGGAGGATGAGGAGGAGGAGGAAAAGGAGGACGTCGACGACGGCGGCGACGGCGAATCCTCCAACGCTGGCCCCCAAACGCTAGAACATATTGCACTTTGGTCTTCGATCCTCGACGACGGCGACGACGACGATGACGAAGACGACGACGACGAAAACGATGACCACGACGACGACGACGACGACGACGGAAGACGACGACGACGGAAGACGACGACGGCGACGTCCCGCTCGCATGGCAGTCGCTCGCTGGGCCGCTGCTGTCGCGGGTGTTCGGCCAGAGCCTGTGGACTAGCAGGACCCCGTCGTGGGCTTCGTGCGCCCATCGTCGTCGTCTCCTCCTCATCCGTTTTCCTCCTCCTCCTCCTCCCTTCCTCCCTCGTCCTCCTCTTCCTCCTCCTCCTCCTCTTCCTCCTCCTCCTCCTCCTTCTCCTCGTCCTCCTCCTCATCCCCCTCTTCCGATGTCATGTCCTTATCATCCTCCTCCTCATCCTCGTCCTCCTCCTCCGTCTTTGTTGGGTGGGGGCAAGCCGCAGACGCTCCAGGTCGTGAGGCGTCACTCCTCCTCCTCCTCCTCCTCCTCCGCCTCCTCCTCCTCCTCCTCCTCCTCCTCCTCCTCCTCCTCCTCCTCCCTCCCCTCCCCCCCCTCCTCCTCCCTCCTCCTCCTCCTCCTCCTCCTCCTCCTCCTCCTCCTCCTTCTTCTCTTCCTCTTCCCCTCCTCCTCCTTCTCCTCCTCCTCCTCCTCCTCCCCCCTCCTCCTCCTCCTCCTCCTCCCTCCTCCCTCCTCCTCCTCCTCCTCCCCCTCCCCCTCCCACTCCTCCTCGTCCTCCTCCTCCTCCTCCTCATCCGCCTCCTCCTCCTCCTCCTCCTGCTCCTCGTCCTCTTCCTCCTCACCCATTCTGGCTCAGGCTTCTGAGGCGCTGAGTTTGCAAACGCGTGCTTTAGAGCGGCTCGCGCTTGCGGGCCAGCTTCCTGTTGTTTTTCGCGCAGCCCACCCAAATTGCTCCGTTGGGCCCTGTGCCGCCCGATGTCTTGCCTGGCGCAAAGACCCCCCCGCTTGGGGTACCGCTGCGGCTGCTGGGACACTTGGGCGTGTCGGATCAAGTGTTGCGATTGCGGAGCCAGCGCTCCAGCTCTCCAGCTCGGGCCGTTGCACAAGCCAAAGCGTCGGCAGCGAAACGCATTGGCCAAGATTGACCTCTCCGAGGCAACTGGGCGCAGGGCAGCCCTATCAGCCAAGACAAGGTCACCAAGCAGATCAAGGTCGAGAAGTCTCTCCCCGCCAGCGGGACGCCGCCTTGGGACAAATCGAGCACATCAGCAGATTGCCATCCTTCAAGCAAGTGCTGGCCTTTTATGCGTGAGTCTGACATCGACACGGGGGCCATCTCAGCAATGGAGAAGGCGGGGAGGAAGGCTACAGAGACGCGCCAGCCCACTGCGCAGATGGCCTGCTGGAAGCGCGAAGGTTTTCGCAAGAAGCTCAAAAATACCGAGGAGTGCTCGCAGGATATCAGCCACAAGAAGGAGGCCCGCGACAGGTAGCTCGCCGAGATCCAGAAATCGACGGACACCCTGCGACGGGACCTCACCAGCGCCGAGGAGATGCTGTGCAAGGCGCAGGCGTCAGAGCTTGCGGACCCGATCATTTTTGCGCGTGCATGTCCGCCGCCAGCTGGCGGCTCAGTGCCAGGAGGGGGAGGACGCCCTCGAAGTACTTCAGCAACAGGCAGCTAAGGCGGCAGCCAAGAATCAGGCGATCGCAAATATGGATCAAAAGGGTCGTGGATTGGGGGGCCCGTTTCCGTAGGAAATCGCAGATCTCCGCCGCCGCCGAACGAGGCGGCACCGGCCGCTCTTTGGGGAGGGGCCTCCCCCGATCCATGGATGGGGCGACTGCGCGCCAAATCCATGGATCGCTAATCCATGTTTGTGCGCCCCCGATTCAACGACAGGCAGCTGAGGCGGCAGCCGAGAAGGAGGCGGACAAAGAGAGCGGGCCCCCCGACGACCCGATGGGAGGAGCAGGCTCGGCAGGCGTGGGATCGGCACCGGCGGCCCGGCACCCCGTTCAAGAAGTTCCTACGATTTTTTTGTGATCATGGGGGGCTGCGCGCTGGCATCAAGCGCCTCGTCGAGTCTGGAGGTGACAATGGAACCCTGACAGAATTTTCGCCGCGGAACATGCGAAACAAAAGAAGGATTATTACCACGAATAATACTAGTAGTAACAATAACATTAACAATGATAGTGATAGCGGTAGGGGTGTCCAGGTGCCCGGGCGTGCCCGGAGGTGCCCTATAGCCCTATAGCCCTACAACTCTATAGCCCTATAGCTCTATAGCCCTATAGCTCAATAGTCCTATAGCCCTATGGCCCCCTAGCCCTATAGCCCTGATGAGGGTTTTTCTCCGGTATCACATTAACAGTAATAATATGCTAGGAATAGTTATACAAAAATATTAATAGTTGCGCGAACCATAGGGGTGTTATTATTAGTAGTAATACAAGACTACGACAGCGACGACGACGACGACGACGACGACGACGACGACGACGACGACTACTACTACTACTGCTACTACTACTACTACTACTACTACTATTACTACTACTACTACTACTACTACTACTACTACTACTACGACTACTACTACTACTACTACTACTACTACCACTACTACTACTACTACTACTACTACTACTACTACTACTACTACTACTACTACTACTACTACTACTACTCCTACTCCTACTCCTACGACTACGACTACTACTACTACTGCTACTACTACTA